TACTATGGAAGTCAATGGCAACCACCAACTGTTTGATTACCAGCAATCTTCAAAATATCTTCTTTTATGTTCAACATAAGAAAGCAACTCATACAGGTTTGGAACGACATGAGGGTGAGTAAATGATGACAGAATTTTCATTTTTGGGTGAACTATCCCTTTAACATTTATTTTAGGAAAAATATTTTATTACCATGCACAAGTTTTTTCAAATACTTTATGGAGTTGTTAAATGATTCATTTGGCCTTTGCTTAAAGGATTTACAACACTGAAATGAGGTCGGACTGAATGTTTGCAAGCACTTCTTCCATCCGTGCAGGATTTTTCCTCCGTACTGTCCCGCATAATTATGAACAGTATTTTGTGGGTAATTATTTTAGCTATCCATTTAATTCCGTGACAGAAACGGGCTGAAAAAGATGTTTTTGTAATTATTTGTGAAATTTACCAGCAATTTTTCTACACTATTTTTTCTTTCTAGTGCAGAGTATTATAGGCCTACAGAGGAAATATTAAGTTAGTATTCAACCCAGTTCTACTGTGCAAACTGCTTCGAGCTGTAATCCATCAAAGTTTTTGAGTGTAAAACTCAAACAGTTTGTCACCACTGTTTACTTGCTCATGTAAACGTGAGTGGGAGCTGATTTCAGCTTTTGTGCTTCAGGACTGAACGCCCATCTGTTTCAGGCTCTGGGCAGAAATAGAGCAAAGTAGCTCAGCTAAACATAGTCAACAAACTTCTGCCAGCCCAGCCTGGCTTAATATGGCAGCTGCGCTCTCCTGACAAACTAGCATTTGTCTTTAAAACCAGTCTGAACAGCATGGGCATCATGACTGGCCCTCCCGCCTACCCCGGGGAACAGGTCTGAAACTGAAGCAGACAAGAACTACGCCACCAGGGAAAAAGTATGTGATTTGACTAAGATCTTCACTCAAACAGCCCTTATAAATATGCACTGCAATGCTTATTATAGTGTCCATCAAATACCACTGCTATAAAGCCACAGTAAATGAACATGGATCTACTCTGGACTCTTTAACCCTGTAAAGTTTGACATATGACATAATCCATTTTTAATCTTTAAAAAAAAATGAGTAGCACATTTGCTAAATCAGGCTCTTACAGTACTAGGTATGAATATGGAGCTCATAGTCGATGAGGAAAAATATCTCTGTTTTATTCAGAGGCCCAAACTGAGCAAAAATATGCAATTTGGTGCAGATGCTGAGATTTCTATGGTCAAAAAGATGAAATTCTGATAGCTAGTTTTATTATCAAAGCTCTTTTTTTAACAGACTTGTAGGATTTTGCAAATAAAGACATCTGTAACTCTGAGACAACAAATAAATTGCAATGAGACATTTTTCATGGAGTTAGTTTATTGCCATTTGTTGCTTTAACTTGGGCAGGTGGATCAGCACAAGATCACAGTGGTGGAGCATGATGTTAGATAGATGGGACACTAACACACATGGTAGTTACCTTAGCTTTACTAATGTTAGAGTTAAAAATGGAGAACCATGGTTACATCAGTGTGTTACAAACCACAAGAATGAAAGACATCAATGAGCTTATTACCAGGTCAACTGTGATGTTTCAAGACAGTATCGTCACCCAAAGCTTTGGACTCTCTCATTGGATGGTCCTCTCGAGGGCTGCTTTATCGTTTGGTTCTACTGAATCTGTAACTAAGTCGTTGGAATCATTAAACAAAGGCTAATTGAGTTAATAAATGAACACTGCATTCTGAGTGTAATCTGAGATTGATTCAGCTGGGATTCTACTGTGCTGTTCACCATTCCCTTTAAGGACTTTGTGTAATTTTTCCTCTCTATATCTCGACAAACATTCAGCAAACCTTCAGTGCAAAGATACTGTCGAGAACATTTGGCAGAGCACAAGAAATGACATAAAACATTTTTTTCGTATTTTGTTAACGTATATTTTTTTCTAGATAAACATTTCTACATGTAATCACTATTGAATTATTTATCTACTGACCAACCCAGGCTCTTATTCGGATGGAAAGAAATGAATCTTTCTTTTGTCGAAAATTAGTGTTTGATTTGACTGATTTTTTGTTTGCAGTTTGGCTTGTTTTAAAGGAATAGTTCAGCCAAAAATAAAATGTAGCTGAAAATGTACTCACCTTCAGGCCATCCAACATGTAGATGCTGTCAGAATAAGAGCTCAAAGAGCTGATAAAAGCATCACAATTGTAAAACCAAAGTTAAAACGTCTTAATGATGGATTTGTTTCTGACAAATACAGCTTTTCACTTACAAGACGTTAATTGATGGACTGGAGTCATGTGGATTATTGTGATGTTTTTATCAACTGTTTGGACTCTCATTCTGACGGCACCCATTCACTGCATAGGATCCATTGGTGAGCAAACGATGTAATGCTAAGTTTCTCCAAATCTGTTCCCTGAAGAAACAAACTCATCTATATTTTGGATGGCCCAAGAGTGAGTAAATTTTCAGCAAATTTTTTAGCGAGATACTTTAACTCAAATTGGACTAAATAGTTAACGAGTAAGGCCTTTGGTAAACCAGTAACTCTAAATTTGAAGTGGTGAGGAGGTTAACTTAGTCCTCAGATGTCTGAGGGGCACTTAGATCATTTCATTCTCACTACAGACAGTCATAAAGGCATGTCCAACTCTATGGGAATGAATGGATGTGCCACTAAAATGGACACATATATATATAGGGCTGTGCAAATAATCGAATGCGATTTTCATGTGCATCTCGTCAGTAAAGCCGGTTCCGTGATTAGTAGTAAATCTCCAGCACGTGCTTTCAGATGGAGTGGCATTTACTACACAGAGCCGTAGTTCACTGACAAGCTACGCAATATAGCTTTCAAAATCGCAGGCGATTCATTGCCGATTATGAACGCGATTTTGCGTAGCTTGTCAGTGAACTTGTCAGTGAACATCATATACACACACACACACATTTAGGGGGAAACTGCTGAATGTTTATTTATTTTTTTTAAATGGAAATTTTCTAGTTTTCCCCAAAACCATAGACTATTGGTTTATGGGTAGTTTACAGTGAGAGATGAAATTATACAGTTTTATGCAAAAGTTTGGGCACCCCTGATAATTATCCTAATTTTAATTCAAAATCTGCTGGGCTTTCGAAGCAGCAACTTCATTTGGATATATTTGATACCTTATGGAGACAGTAACATTTCAGTTCTAAAATAAAAAAATTTGAATCAACAGAAACAATGCAATGTAAATCAGAACAAAAACACACAGGTGCAAAAATCTGGGTACCCAATTAAATAATAGCATCAATATTTAGTAGAGCCACCTTTTGCTGAAATAACCACCTAGAGACACTTTTTATAGCCACTAGTAAGACCCTGAATTCTGGCTGCAGGTATTTTGAACCATTCTTCCTTGCAAAATGTTACTAGTTCAGTTAGGTTTGATGGCTGCTGAGCACGGACAGCCCGCTTCAAATCATTCCATAGATTTTCGGGGATGTTCAAGTCTGGGGACTGGGATGGCCATTCTAGAACATTGTATCTGTGTCTGCATGAATTCTTTGGTAGATTTGGAACAATGCTCTGGGTCATTGTCCTGCTGAAACAAACAACCCCGGCATAACTCAACCTCTTGACTGATTCTTGAACATTGTCCTTGAGAATCTGCTGATATTGGGTGGAATCCATGCGACCCTTAACTCTGACAAGGTTTCCAGTACCTGTGCTTGCCACACAGCCCCCACAGCATGATGGACTCTCTACCAAATTTAACAGTAAGGAGCAGGTTCTTCTCCTGGAACGCTGTACTTTTTCCGCCATGCAAAGCGCCTCTTGTTGCGACCTCTTAGTTTCATCTGTCCACAACACATTGTTCCAAGATAATTCTGGCATGTCCAGATGAGCCTTTGCAATCCACAAACGAGTCTTCTTGTTGCCAGTATGCAGATTCAGTATCTTTTTCTGCATCACCCTTCCATTGAGCTGTTCCTTGTGCAAAGTGCGCTGGACTGTGGAACGATGTACAATGTCACTATCAGCAGCAAGATGTTCTTGGAGCCTTTCAGATATTTTTCTCGGCCTACCAAATCTTTCCTTCACAAGGACTGTTCCTGTCACCTTCCATTTTCGAACTATATTTCTGACTGTGGAGACAGAGACCTTAAACCTTTGTGATACATTTTTGTATCATTCTCCTAATTCATATTGATGAATTATCCTAGTTTTTAGGCCATTAGAGAGTTCTTTTGATGTTCCCATGTTGTTACTTTCAAGTAGAGAATCAAGGAGAGGTAAAGCTAGCAATTAGCTACCTTAAACAGACTTTTTCATGATTGTTTGCGTGCGAGTTTGCAGTGTTAAGGTTCATTGAGCCAATCAAATAAATTTTGTGTTTCAATCAATCAGCATTAAGTGACTACAGGTATTCAAATCAACACAACTGATTGACCTTCAGCTTTATTTCATACTCAATACTGCTGCACTAAGAATTTGTCTGAAAAACATCCTATTATGCAGCTTTCTGTAGAAACTGAATGGCATATCACTACAATCTTTTCTTGTAAAGAAAGAGCAAGTTATTATCCAGCCTCAGAGGGGTGCCCAAACTTTTGCATAAAACTAATTAAAACAATAAGGTAAATGGGTTCTCCAATGTAGATGTTCAATGAAAACCAAATCGAGCTGGATTCTGGGTGGTCAGCAGAAAATACTGGAGTTTTACACACACAATCTAAAACATTTAACAACCGCAGCACTTGATATTTTAAATAAAACTATTTTGTGTGCTATCTCTCGTATGCCTCCCGGCATCTGCTTTGCAGCATTTCACTAAGAATTCCCACTCCATGTTATCATCTTTATCAAAAGTACATAGAGCATCAAATGTTAAAATATAACACACAAATATCAATATGTATTTATATTTATATGCATATAAGCAAAATAATAGCCTTCACAAAATAAATCTCTGATTTATTTTACAGTATGTAAATCACAAGAAGAAGAAAAAAAGCTTTCTAACACGATTAAAAAGTGCTAGCAGATTATTTTACAACAATGTGCAAATATATTCTGAAGCCTTACATTATGTAGTCTAATTTGTACATTCTGATTACATCTATAATGTCACAATGATTTAGTGTTTGAGTTGATTCTCCTACAGGGCAGAATTCCCACAGGTCGGAATGAGGCCGGTTTGTCTTGGTTTAATCTTGGCTATTTGTCTATGGGTTCTCAACTTAAGACAAATAAAGGCAAAGTTTGGCAACTACGTGTCTATAGTTCACCTGCGGTCACAGGCTTTACAGCAGAACAACAGAGATCAAGATCTCCGCTCGGATATTCAGCGTTCTGCACCTGACATTGGCAAAAATAAAAAATAAACACTTGCTTCATCTAGATCAGTGATGGGCAAACTTGGCCCTTCCAGGCCACTTTCCTGCAGAGATTTGATCCAACCCTGATATGACTCACCTGCCTGTAGCCTTCAAGGGCCCCGTCCACACGGAGACGCGTTTAGCTGTATACGCATAAATTTTGTATCGTATAGGCGTTTCGTCCACACGGATCCAGCGATTTGGGAGAGTGAAACCGATATTTTTTTAAACCGGGTCCCAGAGTGGATAAATCTGAAAACGCCGCCCTTGCGTTTTCGTGTGGACAGCGAATCCGTATATTTTCTGAAACGATGACGTCATCATCCCACGTCTCGCCCCTAGTCAGACACCGCTACGTCACGTAACACGTAAAGGAAAACATTTCAAATTGTGGTTTCAAAAATCTTTGTCTTTTCATTTATCTGTTATATTCCCACTATGACAACCTGCTTTCAATCTGTAGAATTAATTGTTAAAGCTTTAGGAATCTTTATGATAATATGCATTTCTGCGAAACTTTACAATGTTTTATTTGCACTTTGACTTTTTTTTAAATCACACGTTTTTTTAAAGTTTCCATTACGATTTTAAATCATTAACTAAAAATGTCAGAGAACATACTAATACTGGCACTCAAAATGTAGAACAAACTAAAATTGTAAACAAAATGGGCATGAAACGTTGCTTGCAGCCCATTTTAATTCACTAATGTGATGTTATTCAGAGTGAAACTGGATCAATTATTGATTGCATTGTGAAAAATGAATGTTTCATGTCGACTTTTAACAATTCAATCTTTAACAAAATGCAACTTTTGGCTCACAAGCACCTTAGAAAAGTGCCACGTCTGAAATCCTGCCTGTGTCTGATAAAAACTCTCTAGATATTTCCAATCCAAGGATAGATCGAGCACACAGTACATTTCAGCTGAACTAGGAAGTCATTGATTTTATTTATGGCAACTAAAACCATCCCCTGACAAGCCTGAGCAGAGATGGACGTCACGCTCTGTTTGGCACTTACAGTAAACACTGTGATATCATGCACCAGGAATTGAGGTCACCTGTCTCAGATGAAGACACATCAAGCAAAAGCTACAGAAATTATTTCTCATCATTTGGCAACTACATGTGGCCTTGTTGACACCAAATCTAATTTGATTGTTAGATCTGTATCTATTTTTGCTGATCAGTTAAACATAGTTTATTGAAGCGTACATTATTTTAGTTTAAATATGCATGAGATTTTATGAATTTGAAAAAGTGAATTACTAATTATAGTCTTTAAGTCAAGGATGCATTTGTAACACGTCC